CTTTGCTTTGCTTAAGGATGTGAAACCGGTGTATATAAATCTTAATAGGAAGATTGTCTCTGTCTGTCTGTCTGCGGTATTTCTAATGCATCCTTCATGACAGTGTCTCTGTTGTTGATACTTGTTTTGTGTAGTGTTGTCAGCAATCTGGCATTACAGAGATATGAATGAAGATGCCAATAAATAAACAAGGACACAACGTTTCTGAGGTGACCAACATGTGGAATCCTGCCAGGCAATTTGAAATCATAAGCTTTAAGCACCTTTCTTTGATCAATTAGTTTTTCCAATATTGATTCAATCACAGTTTCTCAAATAGTTTTAGGGCACGGACTCCATTTTAATACATAAGTTGCCTAAATGTTAGGGATTCTGCAGATGTCAAGGGGACTCTGAAAAAAGTCAAATAGGGGAATGCCACAACTTGAGAGCGATATAAGAAGGCAAGAGGGGCCTGAGGAGGAAGGGGAGGAAAGGTGGGAGGACTTGGTTATAGATGAGCCAGCAGTTGAAGTCACATAGCACCTAGGTAAGGCGTAGTTAATTATTTCAGTTTTGTATACTTAGTACCAAGTGGAAGAAGGGTTAGATTACTTAATTGACTTTTTTTTAGCTCTAACAGCTATGGTACTTAGTCCTTTTAAAGCACTTTCTCTCTGTGCTAACATTAATTAAATAATCCTCAGATCCCTGGTGAGGTAAATCAGTACTATTAGCCTGATTTAGAGATGAGGGAACTGAGGCACAGAGGTTGAAACAACTTGCCAAAGGTCACTCAGTGAGTCCTTGTCTCAGCCAGGATTAGAATTCAGGAGTTGCTGGCTCTTAGTTCTTGCCCAAACCACAGTGCTGTGTCTCCTCAGCCCTTAATGCGTGGTTTACAGATACAAACATGAAATACAGAAAGAAGGATAAATATTAGTAATTGGCAAAACTCATGAGGCTTGATTCAAACACTCATGCAGTAGTTTGGAGGTTTATTCACATTTGGGCCTTCTCCACTTCCTTCCCTGGAAGGTCACTGGCACCTCTTCTCTCCACATGATCCTTCACTCTAAAAGGTGTGAGTTTGGTCCAGAGCAGTTATTTTTTCTAAGATTGTTTCCCCATCCCTAGTAAATATTATACCAGTTCTTCTATTAAAATGCAGTATTAAGGGTGCTTTTTCAGTGTTAGATACTTTATTGAAAAATGTATTGCACAACAGTTGTCAATAAAAGGGGGAGTCAAATTTAGTGGATACAGAGTCCTTATTGAAACTATTAGTGCATTAAGAAATTGAAATTATGCTGCACGCAATATGGTTCCCATTCATTGCCCAGAACATAAATACTGCTACTACAGCAAAAGCTAATGGAGAGAAAGATGTTAGTTAAAGAATGTCCTTGCAGAAGTAAAGCCTTAACTTTTTATAATGTCGTTTAATGATAAAATTAAGGCACCACAGAGATAACTGCATCACTTGGAATTAGAGGCACCTGGTTTTAATATTTTCTTCCTAGGATAAAGAATTGTAACTACAAAAAATTGCTTTTTTTCCCTCTCCCAGAAAACTTGAGTCAAATTCTGATACTTTTTCAGCTTTGTTCAGGAAATAAGACAAAGGCAACCTTATTCTGCTCCACCCTAAGCACAGAACACCCCACTCTATGCAAATTATTCCTTCCAGGATGAGAAGTTACATATGAGGGCACCTCCCAACTCCTAGACATCATGTTGGAATCTCCCTCCAGAGTTCCACCCTGAGAGCAATCTGTCTGCTGGTTTCAGGGGGAAGTGGGGTGTAGCCAGAACAGACGTGGAACACTCCTGCCCTGTTCTAATTTCTAGCTACTGCTCTTCTTGTGTGCATGGAAGTATAAATGAAGTTTTGGAATAGCCTTCCAAGGGAAGCAGTGGGGGCAAAAGACCTATCTGGCTTTAGATTAGACAAGATAAGTTTATGGAGGAGATGATATGATGGGATAACATGATTTTGTCAATTAATTGATCTTTAACTATTCATGGTCAATAGGCCCAATGGCCTGTGATGGGATGCTAGATGGGGTGGGATCTGAGTTACTACAGAGAATTCTTTCCTGGGTATCTGGCTGGTGAATCTTGCCCATATGCTCAGGGTTTAGCTGATCGCCATATTTGGGGTCGGGAAGGAATTTTCCTCCAGGGCAGATTGGAAGAGGCCCTGGAGGTTTTTTGCCTTCCTCTGTAGCATGGGGCAGGGGTCACTTGCTGGAGGATTCTCTGCTCCTTGAAGTCTTTAAACCACGATTGGAGGACTTCAATAGCTCAGACATAGGTGAGAGGTTTTTCGCAGGAGTGGGTGGGTGAGATTCTGTGGCCTGCCTTGTGCAGGAGGTCAGACTAGATTATCATAATGGTCCTTTCTGACCTTAATATCTGTGAATCTATAAATGACTACAGTTTGGGTCTTTTTTGTTTTAAGAGGAGGGGAACTGCTGTATACTCCATGTTCTTATGGTTTAGAAGACAATGATCATAATTTTCACATCTGGCTGCCTAGAATTAGACTTTTAAATCCATATTTAGGCACCGAAATAAGTGTCCTGATTTTCCAATTTGAAATTTCACTGCAATGAATTGGAGCTAGTGGGTGCTCAAATCCTCTGGAAATTAGACTACTTTTATTTAGGAGCCCAAATATAAATTTAAGAACTTAACTTTAGTCACTCAACTTTGAACATTTAGGCCAATGTGTCTGATTCTCCTCTCACATAAGTCTTACATCTGTTTAACTCCATTGACTTCAGTGCAATTATACTGTTGAATTGCACTAGTGCGAGATTAGAATCAGCCCTAATCTGTTGAATGAAGGTAGAAAAGGAGAAGCTTTCACCAAACATCTTTGATTTTTTTATTTAAATTTGTTAAATATTTGCACACATTAAAATTAATATTTGACATAGTTATGTTATCCATGGAAATGTTTTGCAATGCTACATTGGATAAAATATGATCAGAGATAATTGAATTCCTATTTTTCCATGTGTCAGGTCAGTTTATGAATGATAAACATGGCCATTCTAGTCTAATGAATGCACCATGTATGTTTTGTTGACTTTTTTATTTTAACTAAAAAATGAGGCATTTAATTTCTAGACTCTTTTTTTCTTATTTTTCTACATGTTGATGCCCTGACGGACTATGTTATTGCTTTCCTAGTCAGTTACTGTGGAGGTTGCCATCCTAGAAAAGCACCCATACAGATTAACTTGATCACTATTTTACACACAATTTAAGAGAGGCTAAACCAGGAAAACACGACAGGCATCGTTGCTTGAAAACATGAAGCAGTTAACCACCTGTCATCTCAGCCATTAACAAAGGAAGTTAAAGAACTAAGGGAAATAATTGTCAGGTGCACATCTGGTTTTCATGGAGGGCTCCAAGCTGCAAGGTGCTCAGCAACTCCTGGAGGTACTATTGAAATCACTTGGAGTTGAGGGCACTCAGTGCCTTGCAGAATTGAATCTTTACTGTGTAACTACTGTAATCTTCTTGGGTAAATATACTGTAATGTGCATGCTTTGCATACTGCCACTCGTCTTTCCCTAGCCTCCCGTTTCTATCTCTGTTTCTTTTCTGCCAAGCAGGCAATGTTTTTTCCTATAGCATTCCTAGTAGAGACAAATCTACAGCAGCACCAAATTCCTCACAGCAATACTTTGCCAGAAGAGCTACAATTAAGTAGAGATTGAATTCTTTGCATATTGTGTATATTGAGGAGGGTGCACCCCTTAGCTATAGTTTCCACTTTGCAACGCATCAGTCAAGATGGCCAGTAGAGACAGCCTCCTGTGTCAGAAACTCTCTGCTGGTGGAAGTGGCTTCACCATCCTTCAACTGTCCTCCCTCAGTCATCAGTGTAATGGGAAGAAAATGGCATTATAGAAGTGGGGCAGGGCATGGCAGAACAGATCTCTACTACTCCCAGTCCTCCACTGGTGTAAGGCCTGAGGGTCCTTATGCGCGTGGTGTTAGTTACAGCTGTTCCCTTGCTCCTCTAAGATATGCGAGGGCAATGTGGTTTAAATTAGGGGGACACAACCAGCTCTCTGACAACCTCCTCTTCACTGTACCTGAGCAGAGCTCATGTAGAATGAAGAATCTGGCCCCATGATTTCTACATTCAGCTGTACCACTGAGTAGTTGTGTGCCTTAGTCTCGTCACATAACCCTCTGTACCTCAGTTTACATCACTGTAAGTGGGCCTAATAATATTTATCTGTTCTTCAGGGGTGTTGTGCAGCTTATTTAAGGTCTGGAAAGTGTTTTAATATCCCTGAATAATTTATTTATTTGCTGTTGCTGTCACTCTCTTCATAAAGGGAGAATACATGTAAATCCATATTAGCTTTTTGCAAATGTTTGATTTGTTTCTATTATGCAGAAAACACTTGCTGCTTCTGAGCATAACTATTAGGCTAAGCAAACAAAGCATTTTCCAATAGCCTGGTCTTGCCATATCTACTTCAGCCAGTTCCAAGTGATGTAGGTAGTGCCATAAATTAGCAATGTAAAACATCTTCTCTCCTGATTTCTATAAGATACAGATGGTCACAAAGAAGATTCCCCCTCCCCCTCAAATATAAAAACACATCTGCTGAGTGAATTACAAGACTTTAGTAGGGTATTAAATATACAGATATCAATAAAGCAAGGTTTTGATTCTTGTCTTGGCACTTACATGAAAGGCAAACAGTTGAATATTGTACAGTACATTTAATTCCTACAATATCTACAGTATATTACTTTGCAAAAAATATAACAAGACCCAATTCTATCTGCCTTATTTTTTTTGAGTAGTATCTTCACTTCTTGAGAAGTGATGATGTTACTTATGGAGTAAAGTATTACTCAACGTGAGTAAGAGTGGCAGAATCAGGCACAGAGGGAAGCATTAGCAGCTGGTATGTTAGTTAATTATGCTCACAGCATTTTGTTGCTGGTTTCTTAAATGTGTTTCCTTTGTCACTTTTCAGGATTTGAAGGTGAAAGTCTCTGTCCTCCAGCCAGTCAGAGAGTGGAACGTGGTTGTGTTGTTTTCAGAAACATCATGCTTGCACCTCCTCCGGCTAATTATCAACCATTCATGCTTTTGGATGAATTAAACAAAGTAAGAAGACTTCATTATAAAATATTTTTAATTTGCCCCAAGCAAACTGGACACTTTATCAGCTGTCTCAGTTCCCTCTATAAATCAATAATATTAATTAATCCTTGCAAAATCATTGGAGAATTATACAAGCCCAAGCACCAAATCTTCTCTTCCATTGTGGTGATGTCGATGGGAGAAAAAAATAACTGCTTTGCTCTCACATAAAGAAAAATGCCAGCCATGAGCAAGTCAAATTTGGCAAGGCAAGAATAACTAATGTTAATTGTTAGTTAGGGTTTCATTTCCTGGCAACTTTGTCCCTCCAGATGCCCATGTTAATCAGCATGCAGCAAAAGAGGGCAACCGTGAGTTCTTTTGAGATCTGCAGAAATCTGGTGCACCATAATATTTTTTCTGATATAAACAAACAAGTAATTAGTGATAATGTACCTAAAAATGCAGGGAGAGACTGGTTTTGCACACTATCTCCAGTGACATCTTCCAAATAGTCATATTTACGGAGAAGGCAAACACATTCACCTACATGTTGAACAAAAGATAATGTGAGATCATGAGGGTGACCATCTGTTTGTTCTCATTTTCTAAATATGATTTGCAAGTCCCCTGAAAAGTCCATATAACTTCCTGCAAAATCCGACAGTAGCTAATACTTACTTATTCTTTTACAAGATTTTGGGGGGAAAAATTACACATGGACTCATAGTTGGTGTGAAGTTCATACAGATTACTACAATATTAACAAAACGTACAGCTTTATATGTTCAAAGCTTGGGCAAAGACACTCATTTCTGTAGATTTTCATGTGTGTTCTTGACTCAGCAGCAGCTGTAGAACCAAAATGAAGAATCCATAGTATTGATAGGATACTAATGGTGTAAGATTGTGGACTATGTTTGAGGAGGATAGTCTTGTGAATAAGATGCGTAACTGAGTCTCAGAAAATCTGGATTCAGTTCCAGCTCTGCCAGCAACAGTGGCAAATCTTTTTCTCCCTCCCTTTGTCTGTCTTGCCCATTTAGGTTGTGAGCTCTTCAGGGCAAGAGCTGCCTTTTACAATGGGACATTGATCTCAGCCAGGACCTCTAGGCACTTTCATGATAGAAATAATAATAAATAACCAGACATGAGCCAGGAAGACCACTCTTCCATGTAGAAAACTAGAGTAAAAGTACAGTGCAAATGTATCATTTTTTCAGTGCAAGCGGTATTCTGTATGAACAGATAACTACCAAAATCATAGCTTTTTAACCAGTCAAAAGTAATCTTTAGATTAGATTTGAGCCATAGTAAGATATAATGCTGACAGTTCCTGAAATCTAATTGACTGTAAACTAGCCTTAAATAATTGTAATGTTCAGTTGCTCACTTATAATGCTTGTGACAATAAAAAATATAAGATAACATCTCTCCTGTGAAAATCACTAGAATTAAAAAACAGAAAAAATATCTGACTCAGGTAATGCTCCTGATCATAACTTCCCTGGCTTTGTAATATAGCCGTTCAGGATGCGGCCCAAAACAATGTGTCAGAAAAAGAAAAAAAAAGACAAGTGAAACTAATCAACCTTTCAGCCTTGTCAAATTCAAAGTTTCCTACAGCAGTACAAATAGGCTCTGTAACACAGTACAGTGTGAATGTGGAAAAATATTTAAAACAATGATTCATTTTCTTAAGACTTTCAAAAATAATTTCTCCTAGTCTACTGATGTTTTTAAAATATCAGCCCCGTCAAACACCAAGAGCAAAATTCTGTGATCAGCCATAATGACTTCAATGGAGAAACTGAAAGGAAGACATTAATTTAAAAAAGTGAAATGACATCTGTAGGGTTGCACACAGAGGTAGCATTTGGCCTGCTGTGGTTTATAAGATACCTTTAAAAGATGGTAGGATAAGGACCAATGGCTGTAAGCTAAAGAAAGAAAAGTTCTGGAGAAGGTTCTTAATAGTTAGTAGTGTTGTGGCCGGGACTACACCAAAGGAGGTGGATGACACTCCATTGCTGCAAACAGTCATGTACCAATGAGACAAAGCCTTAGCGGGAATAAAGTAGGCAGCATCCTACAATATGCAGGAACAAGTAAGAGAGGTCAGACTAGATGATCCAAATTGTCTTAAATTCTTAAAAATACCAAGCTGTATAAACTGTCATATCCCTTACTGTGATTTGGCTAAGGGAAATGTAAGGGATGTTGATTTTGTAGGTGTGGGGGCCAAATTTTGCTTATAGGAATAAATATGTGAAATGAAGGTGTAGCAGAATCTGGAGCATATATGCAAATCAAAAGCCACAAAATCCAAGTGATGATGATTTTGCATTAGTAGTTATTCTCAGTTATGAACTCAAAGGAAAACATTAGCACATCATAAATTACAACTCTACTTTTTGGAAGTCCCCTTGAGCAGTGCAGAAATACATTTTCCTTTTTCCGCTCTAGAAAAGAGGCAAAAAGCCAAGTGGAAAGATATCTGCTGAGAAAGCTGAGAAGATGACAGTCTCACAGGAGAAAATTGTAGACAGCAGGTATGTGTGAATCAGTATTTCTGATGCTCAGCTGGGGGATGCTTTCCACTTAAAGCAGTGCTTACCTTCATGCAGCAAGCAACAGGTGCTTCTATGATGTGAAATGGCCCTGTTTTCTCTTTATCAACCGCGGCCATAATTATCATATAATATTGCCTTTCACACTTTACATCAATATATTTCTAATGTTTTTATAATTTACTTCAGACATATACATTTGTACATATTTGATTTGGATATGACAATTAACAGAACCACACACATACCAGGGCAACTTGCACAGCAAGTGTGTGTATATGTTTGTTTTAACTTCAAATCTGTTTCTAGAAGCAACATTTTAAGTTTTTCTCTTTGAAATGTCATAAGTAAAGAAGGATTTAGACCATACTTCTAAAATTGCTCTCGTATTTACCAGTCCAAACATAAAATCTATGTTGTCCACTTTTTATCAAGGTGATGATGATTAGAAAGGGGGAAGGGGGAAATGATTTAGAATGAAAAAAATCTATGTTAAAAAAAGAGTCGTCTTGGACTATGTGGCAAGTAAAGTTTTGCATGGCTGGTTTGGACAACAATGATCATGCAGTGATCATATTTTTCTCATGGTTCGTGAGATGAATTGGGGAAAGAAAAGGAGAGGTATTCTTTCAAGCTCTATCCTCCCATCATCAAAACGAAACTTCAAATTGAGACTCTGCTCATGCGGATCGTCCTAGGATGATTGTCATTCTCCTGCTTTGGTCAGCAATGTAATAATTAACAATCTTGATGTTTAGTTTGTCAGCTTGATAGGAAATGTGGCACTTCTGTCAGAGCTATTGGTTCAGGCAGACATCCATGCATTAGTTACATTTGACACTGTGAAACAAATGTGATCTTCATAACCATGAGGGCTGTAAAGATTTTATTCTATATGAAAATCTAGATTCTGGAGCAAATTTCCTGCAGCAAGGGATGAGCCAGTGGTAGATTCACTGGCTGGGGAATCCCACAGTACACGTAACCCTGATGGTAGCTGCTTTCTGTCATAACAAAAATAACTGTGATACCATAAGGAAATATCAACAAAGCTACGTCATAGTGTATTAAAGGAAAAGGTGAGGAAACCAAGCAATCTCATTGACTCCCAGTCCTGTGGTTACCCCGTGATAGCTTTCATCACTGCAAAGTTTTACTATATCCAAAAGTAACTGTTGAAAAAGTTTTTCCAATGTATGTCATAGAAACATCTGTGACAACATTCAGGCTGCCTACTATTTCAGCCTCCTGTTGTGCTGACTCTGTAGACAGTTCAGAGAATCAGGACACAGCAGCAAATGAACCAGAGACACAAGGGACAGATTTTAAGCATCAGGCTGCTACTTTATTAAATTAATGCTGGGGCAGGACACTGTTTTCCAACCCCTACTCTTGCATACCCAGCATTTAATAGGGTCCAGTGTGATGGGGTTACAGGATCCCACCATGTACAAATTGGTGAAAATCCTTCTCAGCCTACCTCTAGACCTCAGCTGACTTCTGAAACCCCACCCCTATGGCTACCAAGGGGTGACCTCAGTCCACGAAGACTTCAGGTTTCTCCTTCTCCTACAGGTACAAGGTCCACCACTGAAATCCCCTGTCTCAGCTCTAGGAGGTGGCCCTTTTAGCCTTTATCCACACTAGCCACTGGCTACAAGTAGTGACGAGTTTAACAGTCTTACCTTTCCTAATATTAAATTTTCAAGTCCTATTCCTTTCAACCCAACTGGGCCTCCATGAGGCTTCAGGAAAGCTGAAAAAAACCATTAAATCTAGGTCAGTTTGGCCTAACAGGAAAAATTCCTTTCTGATCTCAAACCAAGTGATTGTTCAGACCCATAGCATCCTGAAAAACTCAGCTCCTGTGCTACAACTAATTGGAGGGAGGACAGGACAGCTAAAGGTCCAATGGGCCCTTGAAAAGCCTAAGTAGAGTTGAAATATACCTGGCTGGTAGGCATAAGAACCAGTCAACCATCCTGGTCCCCCTAGCCTCACCAATGCGCTGTCGCCTCCCCTGCTTTCAGGGTACTGTGTCTTATTTTTGTTGGTCCAACCCAACAACCTCTTGGGATGGACACTTGTTATAGAAGTCCCAATATTTAGCTCCAAAAGGCATTTTTTTGGTCTCATCAGAGCTTAGATTCTCTCTAATCAAGAAACACCCCCTCCCCATGCCAGATTTTCTGCGAAGCAACCATCACACAAACAAACCAATAGGAGAAATCAATATCCCTTACAACATCTCTTCTCTGAATACCCCAGCCTTTATTCTGCCCCACTGGTTGTCTTCCCCTTTGACCAGCTTGGAACTGTTTTGAATTTTAGGGCTGTAGGCCCAGGAATGTCAGAAAAATCAGTAAAGACAAAAGGATGGAAGTGTCAGTCTTAATATGTATCTGTTCAGACAGTCATAGTAGGATCCTATTTCTGTTTGTGTCACTCATAGCTGGCAGCCTTCTGTTTATGATGATTGTATTTTTCTTTCCTGTTCTATCTCTGGAAGCTATAAACAAGCTATGAAGAGCTTTGGAGAGTTTATAGCTACGTTAATCTTTTGTGTGTCTTTGTTTAGATTTAAAGAGGAGATCACAGCCTGTTTTTCAGATGTAACTGTAACCTTTATCTGTACATTAAAGAGGGAAAGCTCTTATGCTCTTGTTGGTGAGAGTTTAAACGTTCTGTGTACTATGCATTATCAATAGGCAATGTAGTGATTATGTTAAAAGTTGAAAATATGATGATAGAATTTATATAACTAAAATTCTGGCTCTTAACAAAGAACACTTCTCCTTAGATCAAGGTGATCCATTCCAATACAATTGAATTCTGCCGTCATATCAGCGTTTCGCTCAGTGTGTGTAAATTGCTTCACATGTTTGTTGAAATCTAGAGACACTAGTATAAATTGCTTCCATTAAATAACAATGTCATTTTCAGAATACAAAGCCATGGGTTTGATCCTTGTTGCTTAGATGTGAAATAAGAAAGAAATTTAATTACTATTTCTGGCTTTTGCATAATATTATGCCCCTAGAAATAGCTTTTATGAAAGGAGTACCAGAATGTTACATTTGTCACGTGCAAGCAAAAGCAATTTTATGGATAATTTATTGCCTTTTTAAGATTTTCATTTAAAAGAGAAAATGTAATATGTTCTGGACTTCATTTTTCCTTCAACAGCCTCACCCTACAGATGTTCTTACCCAGTTGACCCACTGGAAAAACAATATTTAAATGCCATGACTTCTTACCCAGGAATAATTACACAATAATTTCAGTACAGTGAATCAAACTTTCCTTTGAGTTCCTTTGAAAATGTAGCAGATCAAGAATCTGGTTTCTCAGTGCCATCTAAACCATTTACAACCCTGAAGGCAAACACTAAGCCTTTTCCATATTCTATCCACGGATGTGATTGCATAAATGCTGTGGTATGAGACAACAGCAAATTAAACTGCAGCAGAAGCAGCAAATATTAGGGGGAAATGAAAACTCCTGACTCAGAGGAGCTGGGCAATGACAGACTCCTCATTATCGATCTTTTCATATGGAGAAGAATGACTGATAAATGAGGTTGCTGTGACATAAAGAGGAAGAGAACACAGTTGGACGTTCATGCAGAAATTATGCTCTCTGTACAAAACAAATAGAAGAATGGGTGATGTCTAATTTGCATCTCTTCTTACCAACAAACTGATTAAGGAGACATCTTCTGGAGCAGATGGTAGAGTTGTCATCTGCAAGATTAAGATACCGTGTGTACCCTTTTTCACTATTTTGGTTGTGATGGAGGTGACATTAGCTGTAATCTTCCTGTTCATTGCCAGTTGTTTACTCTCTCTTTAAGGAGTTACAGTTAATATACATGTAGTTCTTTAAAATCTTGAAGTTAGGGAAATCTGCCATTGCGCAGAATCCTCCTACCTCTTTCTATTACTGAAGAATAGCAAAGCATAAAATAACTATCATGGAACTCCGTCCTGCTTTGTCTGCTCATGCTAGTAACTCTTAATTACTTCAGTGTCAGTAACAGTTGCAGGATTAGCCTCTTGTGATTTGCAGTGGCCTCTAGATATTGAACAAGACACTTCATCGTGACCTTTCAAACTGGTTGAAGAGGACAATCTCTTGGAGTGCCAAGGCAATGCAGCATGGGCAAAAAAAGCTATTAGAGGCATGGAGAGACTTCCATCTGAAGAGATATTGAAAAGAAGGGGGATTGTTTTGTTTAGAGAAGGGCTCCTGTTTACTCTTTCTCATAATACCAAAGCAATATTCAATAAAATTTAAAGGCAACAAATTTGAAAATGATAAAAGGATTTTTTTTTGTTGTACATAATTTATAAGTAACCTGTGGAACTCCGTTGCCTCTGGATATTACGAAGGCCAATTCCTCATCAGGATTCAGAAAAGGATTAAACACTTATATGGATGTTGAGAACATTCAGTTACATTAGATAGGATTTTAAAAAAATGTAAAATGAGTATTCAGGAATTATGCCAACTCATTCACTGGCACTTATTGAGAAGAAAATTCCCTTATGGCAGGTTATTTTCTATAACTGTCCACTCTTCATTTTCACTAGTGGTCCCCAAACTTTTTACTTTGTGCCCCCCCTTACCTCTGTCCATTTCCCACCCTGCCCCTGGGGCCTGGAGCAGGGCCGCAGCTCTGGAACTGGGGGATGCAGACAGGGTAAGGGGGCTGAGGTTGGGGCCACACCTGGGGGCAGGGGCAGAGTTGAGGCTGGGGGCCAAGGCCAACAACCAGGACCCCGGGCATGGGGCCAGCAGCCAGGAGTGGAGCTGGGTGGCACTCCCTCCCCACCCCCTATGCAGGCTGGCCTGGGCCCCAGCAGCGCTCCCCTCCCCCGAATGTTCCTCCATGCCCCCATAAAGGGGCATGCCCCTCAGTTTGGGGACCTCTGATTTTCACCTTTCTCTGAAGTATCTGGTATTGGCCATTGTCAGAGATA